TCACACATATCACTCGCATCACACGCTTCACACGCTAAACACGCTTTACACATATCACACGCCTCACACGAATCATACGCATCACGCGAATCACACGCATCACACGCTTCACACATATCACACGCTAAATACGCATCACACACTAAACACACTTCACACATATCACACGCCTCACACGAATCATACGCATCACGCGAATCACACATATCACTCGCATCACACGCTTCACACGCTAAACACGCTTTACACATATCACACGCCTCACACGAATCATACGCATCACGCGAATCACACGCTAAACACGCTTCACACATATCACACGCTAAATACGCATCACACACTAAACACACTTCACACATATCACACGCCTCACACGAATCATACGCATCACGCGAATCACACATATCACTCGCATCACACGCTTCACACGCTAAACACGCTTTACACATATCACACGCCTCACACGAATCATACGCGCTAAACACGCTTCACACATATCACACGCTAAATACGCATCACACGCTTTACACATATCACACGCTAAACACGCTAAACACGCTTCACACGCTAAACACACTTCACACATATCACACGCCTCACACGAATCATACGCATCACGCGAATCACACATATCACTCGCATCACACGCTTCACACGCTAAACACGCTTTACACATATCACTCGCATCACACGAATCATACGCATCACGCGAATCACACATATCACTCGCATCACACGCTTCACACGCTAAACACGCTTCACACATATCACTCGCATCACACGCTTCACACGCTAAACACGCTTTACACATATCACACGCCTCACACGAATCATACGCATCACGCGAATCACACATATCACACGCATCACACGCTTCACACGCTAAACACTCTTTACACATATCACACGCCTCACACGAATCACACGCTTCACACATATCACACGCTAAATACGCATCACACGCTAAACACACTTCACACATATCACACGCCTCACACGAATCATACGCATCACGCGAATCACACATATCACTCGCATCACACGCTTCACACGCTAAACACGCTTTACACATATCACACGCCTCACACGAATCATACGCATCACGCGAATCACACGCTAAACACGCTTCACACATATCACACGCTAAATACGCATCACACGCTTTACACATATCACACGCTAAACACGCTTCACACGCTAAACACACTTCACACATATCACACGCCTCACACGAATCATACGCATCACGCGAATCACACATATCACACGCTTCACACGCTAAACACGCTTTACACATATCACACGCCTCACACGAATCATACGCATCACGCGAATCACACATATCACACGCATCACACGCCTCACACGAATCACACGCTTCACACATATCACACGCTAAATACGCATCACACGCTTTACACATATCACACGCTAAACACGCTTCACACGCTAAACACACTTCACACATATCACACGCCTCACACGAATCATACGCATCACGCGAATCACACATATCACTCGCATCACACGCTTCACACGCTAAACACGCTTTACACATATCACACGCCTCACACGAATCATACGCATCACGCGAATCACACATATCACACGCATCACACGCTTCACACGCTAAACACGCTTTACACATATCACACGCCTCACACGAATCACACGCTTCACACATATCACACGCTAAATACGCATCACACACTAAACACACTTCACACATATCACACGCCTCACACGAATCATACGCATCACGCGAATCACACATATCACTCGCATCACACGCTTCACACGCTAAACACGCTTTACACATATCACACGCCTCACACGAATCATACGCATCACGCGAATCACACGCTAAACACGCTTCACACATATCACACGCTAAATACGCATCACACGCTTTACACATATCACACGCTAAACACGCTTCACACGCTAAACACACTTCACACATATCACACGCCTCACACGAATCATACGCATCACGCGAATCACACATATCACACGCTTCACACGCTAAACACGCTTTACACATATCACACGCCTCACACGAATCATACGCATCACGCGAATCACACATATCACACGCATCACACGCCTCACACGAATCACACGCTTCACACATATCACACGCTAAATACGCATCACACGCTTTACACATATCACACGCTAAACACGCTTCACACGCTAAACACACTTCACACATATCACACGCCTCACACGCTAAACACACTTCACACATATCACACGCCTCACACGAATCATACGCATCACGCGAATCACACATATCACTCGCATCACACGCTTCACACGCTAAACACGCTTTACACATATCACACGCCTCACACGAATCATACGCATCACACGAATCACACGCTAAACACGCTTCACACATATCACACGCTAAATACGCATCACACGCTTTACACATATCACACGCTAAACACGCTTCACACGCTAAACACACTTCACACATATCACACGCCTCACACGAATCATACGCATCACGCGAATCACACATATCACTTGCATCACACGCTTCACACGCTAAACACACTTTACACATATCACACGCCTCACACGAATCATACGCATCACGCGAATCACACATATCACTCGCATCACACGCTTCACACGCTAAACACACTTCACACATATCACACGCTTCACACGCTAAACACACTTCACACATATCACACGCCTCACACGAATCATACGCATCACGCGAATCACACATATCACACGCTTCACACGCTAAACACGCTTTACACATATCACACGCCTCACACGAATCATACGCATCACGCGAATCACACATATCACACGCATCACGCGCTTCACATGCTAAACACGCTTTACACATATCACACGCCTCACACGAATCACACGCTTCACACATATCACACGCTAAATACGCATCACACGCTTTACACATATCACACGCTAAACACGCTTCACACGCTAAACACACTTCACACATATCACACGCCTCACACGAATCATACGCATCACGCAAATCACACATATCACTCGCATCACACGCTTCACACGCTAAACACGCTTTACACATATCACACGCCTCACACGAATCATACGCATCACGCGAATCACACGCTAAACACGCTTCACACATATCACACGCTAAATACGCATCACACGCTTCACACATATCACACGCTAAATACGCATCACACGCTTTACACATATCACACGCTAAACACGCTTCACACGCTAAACACACTTCACACATATCACACGCCTCACACGAATCATACGCATCACGCGAATCACACATATCACTCGCATCACACGCTTCACACGCTAAACACACTTTACACATATCACACGCCTCACACGAATCATACGCATCACGCGAATCACACATATCACACGCATCACACGCTTCACACGCTTAACACGCTAAACACGCTTTACACATATCACACGCCTCACACGAATCACACGCTTCACACATATCACACGCTAAACGCGCTTCACACGCTAAACACACTTCACACATATCACACGCCTCACACGAATCATACGCATCACGCGAATCACACATATCACACGCATCACACGCTAAACACGCTTTACACATATCACACGCCTCACACGAATCACACACTTCACACATATCACACGCTAAATACGCATCACACGCTTTACACATATCACACGCCTCACACGAATCACACACTTCACACATATCACACGCTAAATACGCATCACACGCTTTACACATATCACACGCCTCAACCGCTAAACACGCTTCACGCACTTCACACGCATCACGCACTTCACACATATCACACGCATCACACGCTTCACGCATATCACATGCTTCACACGCTTCACGCATATCACACGCTTCACACGCCTCACACGCTTTACACATATCACACGCATCACACGAATCACACATCACACGCATCACACGCTTCACACGCTAAACACGCATCACACGCTTCACACGCATCACACGCTTTACACATATCACACGCCTCACACGCATCACACGCTTCACACGCATCACACGCTTTACACATATCACACGCCTCACACGCATCACACGCTTCACACGCTTTACACATATCACACGCTAAACACGCATCACACGCATCACACGCTTTACACATATCACACGCTTCACACGCTAAACACGCATCACACGCTTTACACATATCACACGCTTCACACGCTAAACACGCATCACACGCATCACACGCTTTACACATCACACGCTTCACACGCTTTACACATATCACACGCTTCACACGCTAAACACGCATCACACGCATCACACGCATCACACGCATCACACGCTTTACACATATCACACGCCTCACACGGATCATACGCATCACGCGAATCACACACATCACACGCTTCATGCGCTAAACACGCATCACACGCATCACACGCTTTACACATATCACACGCTTCACACATATCACACGCATCACACGCTTCACGCATATCACACGCTTCACACGCCTCACACGAATCACACGCTTCACACATATCACATGCATCACACGAATCATACGCATCACACGAATCATACGCATCACGCGAATCACACATATCACACGCATCACACGCTTCACACGCTAAACACGCATCACACGGTTCACACGTTAAACACGCATCACACGCATCACACGCATCACACGCTTTACACATATCACACGCCTCACACGAATCATACGCATCACGCGAATCACACACATCACACGCTTCATGCGCTAAACACGCATCACACGCATCACACGCTTTACACATATCACACGCTTCACACATATCACACGCATCACACGCTTCACGCATATCACACGCTTCACACGCCTCACACGAATCACACGCTTCACACATATCACACGCATCACACGAATCATACGCATCACACGAATCATACGCATCACGCGAATCACACATATCACACGCATCACACGCTTCACACGCTAAACACGCATCACACGAATCACACGCTAAACACGCATCACACGCATCACACGCTTTACACATATCACACGCCTCACACGAATCACACGCTAAACACGCATCACACGCTAAACACGCATCACACGCATCACACGCTTTACACATATCACACGCCTCAACCGCTAAACGCTTCACACGCTAAACACGCATCACACGCTATACACATCACACGCTGAACTGGCCTCACACGCACCACACGTGTGTGTAAATGACTGGAGCTGGACTCAAGCCTGCAGTGCTGATGTTCGGCCGCTCATGTTTGTCTTGTAGGTGAAGATTTTGTGGTCAGCTCGTTGTTTGAGTCCGTGGAGGCGGGTGGCGTTGCTCCAGAGTTCTCCTGCTTCCTGAACCGATGTTTTATCCTGCGAGTTCGCTGCTTACTGGACAGCACGTCTGGATTTCTGGTGAGAGATTCCTTCAGTTTAGAGGCCACAGATAAATGACTTTGTGTGACTCACATGTGATCATAACCCTCGACTGAACAGGGACTTCTTATAGATTGTTTTCCATGAGATTTTTCCTTAAATTATTCCACTGAGAGAAAAAAATCCAAACCATGTTGATGTTTTGGCTGCAGATCTCGAGTCTCCGCGTGTGATTTGGCTTTGTGTCCTTTAGGAGTGTTTGCTGCACATAAACAGGGTTGATTCATAAGAAGGTTGTAGTTAGACAGATGTAGTTTATCTCAGAAGACGTTACCACAGCCACATCACCCTGTAGCCCAGGACTGGGTTCCCACTGAAGATAAGCAGGGTTGAGGCTGGTCAGTACCTCGATGGGAGACTCCTGGGAAAACCAGGTTGCTGCTGGAGGAGGTGTTAGTGAGGCCAGTAGGGGGCGCTGTGGTCTGTGTGGGTCCTAACACCCCAGTATAGTGATGGAGACACTATACTGAAACACTGGGTGCTTCTCATTTCTTATTTGTGCATCCTCGTTTCCTTTCCTCGCTTCCTTTCCTCGCGTCTCAGCTCCACCCCCTGCAGGATGCGAGGGAAGGCTGCAAGGAAAAAAAATGAGGACGGAGGAATTGAATGAAAGCTTTTTTATACATTGGAATACTTGATCACTCGCGCGTCACTTCACTGCGTCATCAGCAGCGCTCAAAGGATCTGCCCTTATGTTGTTAAAGTTTATTTATTTAAGAAATTCATAATAAATAATAATAAAGCAAGAAACCTTGTTGAAATATGTGAGTTGTGTGGTTTATGTAAACTACAAAAGTAAAGTATAAATTCAAATGATTGTGACAGATGTGAAGGGGGAGGAGAATTGATACGTGCGTCATGTTTAGTCGATAAAACTCTTCCGTAAAGGGTACACCTGTGTATCCTCGCTCATAGCTCCTCTGGAAGCCTCCTCACTCCTCGATCCTCGCGGTGCAATTAGAGAATTGAGATGTCCTTCAAGATGGCTGAGCTCGATTGGTTTCCGGGTCATAGGATGGAGGAGCGAGGAGCGAGGAGACGAGGAGGGATATTGAGAAGCACCCACTGTATGGAGCTAATAATATGACAAAATGATTTGAATTTGAATTGTGTAAATTTGAATTATTTGCAAGTGTAATCTAACAAAATTGAATTTTAGGTGGTAGTTTAAATAGTTCTGAATTTGATTTTTTTTAACGAATATTGAACATTTGAAATTTAACAAATTGAAAGGTTTTTATGGCTGAATTTTATAGACATGTATTTTCAAACAGCTAGTTTTTTTTGTTCTGAATTCAAATACTACAAATATTCAGTTTAAAAAAATACAGATTCAAGTTTTCAAGATGAAGAAATTCGGAACTTCAAATTCAGTTTTCTAAAATTCAATCTCAAAAATTCAAACTCAAAAATTCAGGTCTTACAGAAAGTAGGTCACATGTCATCCACAGGGAAGAGTAGATGATCTCAGAAAAGTCGAACAGAGCATTTTGGTCCATTAGGGACTGCAGAAGGTTTCTTAAACATGAATGATTTTGTGTTTGTTAGGTAGCGTTCTCATCACGTGAGACATTTGTCTAAGCAGTCTCTGGTGTTTGTTTTAAAGTATATTTTTGTGTAAAATTGATTAGAATGCCACCGTGTCATCACCTACACAAACAGGACGCGAGCGGCGCGGCGCCACGCAACACAGTGCTTGAAGCGACTGTTGCAATGGTCACAAATAGGATGGGGAATCCGTGTGCTGTTGGGGATTTCACGGGTCGCGTCGCTCCGCTCGCGTCTGGTCTAGACTGCGTCGTACATGTAGTAAGCATAAGGTACGAGTGTGAATTAGCCATTAAATGTCTTACAATAAGCCTACCTACCTAATGCAATTGTCCTTCAATATTAAAGTGTTCTCTACTGATTGATGACTGACTCAGTAATAAAGACAGTCTTTGCCGCCATCTAACATTTCAGGTGAAATATTTTAACTTATGCTGCTGTTCACGGCCAGGGACTATCAAATGTCTCACGTGATGAGAACGCTACCTAACAAACACAAAATCATTCATGTTTAAGAAACCTTCTGCAGTCCCTAATGGACAAAAATGCTCTGTTCGACTTTTCTGAGATCATCTACTCTTCCCTGTGGATGACATGTGACCTACTTCTGTAAGTCCTGAATTTTTGAGTTTGAATTTTTGAGATGAATTTTAGAAAACTGAATTTGAAGTTCCGAATTTCTTCATCTTGAAAACTTGAATCTGTATTTTTTTAAACTGAATATTTGCAGTATTTGAATTCAGAACAAAAAAACTAGCTGTTTGAAAATACATGTCTATAAAATTCAGCCATAAAAACCTTTCAATTTGTTAAATTTCAAATGTTCAATATTCGTTTAAAAAAATCAAATTTAGAACTATTTAAACTACCACCTAAAATTCAATTTTGTTAGATTACACTTGCAAATAATTCAAATTTACACAAATTCAAATTCAAATCATTTTGTCATATTATTAGCTCCATACCACTGTGCTTGGGAAGAGAGAGAGAGTCTCTGTGGTCATTAAATCCCCATGGCACTTCTTGTAGAGAGTCGGGGTGTAACTGGCCACATTCCCTCCATCGGGCCTTATCAGTCATGGCCTCCTGATCCTCCCCATCCACAGCATTACCACTGTCTCTGCTCTCCGCCTATAGTGTGTGTGTGTGTGTGTGTGTGTGTGTGTGTGTACTGCTCATAACCTGTGCTCAGATCTGAGTCGTGTGTGCTTGCAGACGATGCAGTTCCAGGGCAGCCTGAAGTTCCTGCAGGGCCAGCGGAGGAGGACGGGGTCGGGGGCGAGTCTCCCCCCTCAGCTGGGGCTGTTCTGTGTGGCCGTGCCCCTCGGGCCCCTCGGGCCCTCCAGCGCCGAGCTGAGGGTGAAGACCGGCCTGGTGAAGGGCAAACACAAGAACCCTGTTCTCTCCTCGCTAGAGCACAAGTGAGACTCTTCCCTTTCCCTCTGGCTTGCAGAAACGGTCACTGTTACTGTTAATGCTGCAGAAACTCACTTTTTAATCACCTTTTGAAGTTTAGCTACAGTGCAAACCCTGATCCTGCTGAACTGAACTCGATGAATCTGTCGTCTTCTGTAGAGCTGCTTTACAGATGAAATGTAATGTCTCATAATTGATGAATTTGTGTTATTTTCCCGTTTATCACTGTGAAGCGCTATAGAAATAAAGCTGACTTGACCTAGACACGTGCCCTTAATGAGATTGCCTACAATTTGGAGAACATAATAGTTGTTATAATTACTATATTTTGGGACCAAATGTTATATTGCACAAATGCATGAATGATGGAGCTTTGACGGAACAATTTCACCCATGAATGTGATTGAGGAACTTGACGCATTTTCCTTTACCGATGTGATTCGCCACTGACAGATTAGCAGGATCTTCTCTTTTCAGGTCCGTCCACATCGACTCTTCAGGGTTCAGGACTTTAGAGCTTTACGTTTGTTTCTTTTCAGCCATTTAGACGGAAGTGCATCTTTATTTGTCCTGCTAAATCCCCCAGTTGCACTGAATCCTCAAATCGCTCGCAGATAGTCGGACATTTTCAGCCTGATAACTCAAGAGGTTTATGGTTGTGGTTAGTGCTGATTCATCCCTCTCTGTGTGTGTGTGTGTGTGTGTGTGTGTGTCTCCGGCAGTGACAGAGACGATCCTCTCAGACGGACACACACGATCCCCTCCTCAGACGTGAAGTGCCGGATTGACGCTCAGTACGGGCCGGACGAGCCTCTGAACTTCTGCAAGTCTGTGTCGAGTGTCCCGAAGCTCCAGAACCTGGACTGTGGCGTGTGGCCCGTGAGAAGCTCCTCGGCCCGCCTGGGTCACGGGCTCGAGCTCGCCGCGAGGAAGCACACACACTACGGGAAACCGTATCGCCCGGGCCCCGGATACTACAGCACCAGGGCCGAGGCGTTCGTGCCGAAGACGTACGGGAGCGTCTCGCACAGCGACTACGACCCGGACGCCATCAAGAGCGAGAGCTTCTGCTACGCCGGCCCCGGCGAGGGCTTCGACACACACCTGGTGCCGGAGCCGCCCATTAAGGTGGAGCAGGACTCGGACTCGGAGAACGGCTGTGACGTGTTCGGGCGATACGCGTGCGGCTTCGAGAGCGTGCCGATGAAAGCAGAGTGTGTGTATGGCGAGGTGTTCTCCTGTCAGCGCATGAAGGGAACGCCGTACGGGAGCCCGTATCCCAGCGCTTACGGCGGCCCGGCCCGGCCTCTGAAGTGTGTGCTGAACAGAGACTCGCTGCACACACACGGGCCGCTGAACACACACGGCGACGCCTGCGCTGACGTCTACAGAGGGTTCGTGCAGCACGACTATAAGGCGGCCTACGAGTGCAAAGGGCCCGGGCTCCTTCAGGGCATCAAGCAGGAGCCGGCGGATCCTCCGCACTGGAACGCGATGAGCAACGGCGTGATGAGCGGCGCTAACAAGGCCGACCCGTACGCCTTCATGCAGTAGCGCTTCTGGAACTGGGTCCAGCCCACCAGCGCTCGCTTCCAGCACACACGGCTAAACATTCTTACATCACGATTCATTTACTGGAGAAGCACAATGCCTGAAGATGTTAAGTCTTGTTTAATGAAAACTGTATCAAGATTAAGTGAGTTTGTGCTTAAAACAAGAACAAAAATCTGCCAGTGGAGTCAGAACAGAGCATCCGCGCGGAGCCGTGATTTACAGTGCGTTAGGAGCAGGGCGTAGTTCGGCTCGACGCGGAGCTAAACCCCTCAGCTGTTCCTAACGCACTGTACATCACGGCTTCAAGGGGCTTATTGCTTTTATAAAACGGTTTTATAAAAACCTAACCCTAACTTGTTTTCTTTTTGAATTAAGATTATTTTTCGGACTCTGGCAGATATTTGTTATTGTATTAAGCACAAACGCGCTTCATTTTGATCCGTATGTCAGAAAACAAGACTTAATATCTTCAGTGATTCAGGGATGTTTGGATATTTCTACTGGACAAAAGCCCTGGATAAGGGAACCGTGTCTGTCGGCGCTCAGCGGTTTGAGTTCGCTGAGCTGTCATTATATCTTCTTCTTTGCAGTTTTTATATAGTCAGGCTAATATTTCTGGACAAGGATAAAATTACTAACATAAAAATGAGAATTAAAACAACAATTAAAATAATAAACATATGAGAGCGACAGTTATATTGAAGACAGAATCATTTCAAGGGTTATTGAGTTTATTAGATTATTACAATCATTGTTATTCAAACACTTGTTTTATTAAAGCATTTCGTCTGCATGTTTATGAAGTATTGAAGTATAAAAACTGAAGGATTTCATCTGAAGTTTGTTTTCGGATATCGGCTTATTTGACTCCATGTTTAGACAGAAATATTCTTCTATCTCATAAAATAGCCAAGAGGTGAAAACCACCCGGCTAATATGTTGAAGCAGATCAGCAACACAAATATTCAATAATAATGTCAAATATTTAGGCTCTTAAACATTTTAATGTTAAATTCACTTCAGCATTGATAATGGTCCCAGGCTTAATCTAGTCCCAGGCTTAATCTAGTCCCAGGCTTAATCGAGACCCAGGCTTAATCTAGACCCAGGCTTAATCTAGTCCCAGGCTTAATCTAGTCCCAGGCTTAATCTAGTCCCAGGCTTAATCTAGACCCAGGCTTAATCTAGTCCCAGGCTTAATCTAGTCCCAGGCTTAATCTAGTCCCAGGCTTAATCTAGTCCCAGGCTTAATCTTGTCCCAGGCTTAATCTAGTCCCAGGCTTAATCTAGACCCAGGCTTAATCTAGTCCCAGGCTTAATCTAGTCCCAGGCTTAATCTAGACCCAGGCTTAATCTAGTCCCAGGCTTAATCTAGTCCCAGGCTTAATCTAGACCCAGGCTTAATCTAGTCCCAGGCTTAATCTAGTCCCAGGCTTAATCTAGTCCCAGGCTTAATCTAGTCCCAGGCTTAATCTAGTCCCAGGCTTAATCTAGACCCAGGCTTAATCTAGACCCAGGCTTAATCTGGTCCCAGGCTAAATCTAGACCCAGGCTTAATCTAGACCCAGGCTTAATCTAGACCCAGGCTTAATCTAGACCCAGGCTTAATCTAGTCCCAGGCTTAATCTGGTCCCAGGCTAAATCTAGTCTCAGGCTTAATCTGGTCCCAAGCTTAATCTAGTCCCAGGCTAAATCTAGTCCAGACTAATGCTAGAGCCGCTTTAACTGAAAGCGTATCTTAAAGTACGTCAGTGCCATTGTTTTGTTTCAAGACGCACATCAGTAATGCTTTTTTCTAAGGCATGTTTATAAAAGTTACTTAATTGAACTAAGGCTTAATCCTGGCTAAATCTAAGCCCTGTCTGTGAAACCGGGCCTTAATGTATTTGTCAAGTAAAGATAATAGTGATAATGCGCTTGCACTACTGGGGCTCGTTCAGCGAAAGGGAACCGGTGTTTGATCAGACACTTTTGTGGAAGGTTCATTTGTATCAACAATTTGTATTTATTGTTTATATAAATATCAAAGGCCTTTTGCACTTTTTCAGGAAGGATTTTAACACGACGTTTTGCCACTGGCATTCAATATGGACAATAAATATTAACAGAAGATACACTGTTTTACACAAGTTTGTAACTGCAAAGCAGCAACAATCAAATATGGGTCTTCCTGTTGTATTTATTACTTTTATAAAAATAAAAATCTTGTATGACAAAATGAGAGGATTATGAGGAAAGGCTTTTATTATGGATAACAGCAGAAATAAATATTTCCACTTGTGATTCACATTTCAGATTCTCCTTTTTCATTTGAAAATTGTGCCCAGTATTTTGGATAAATGTCCACCAGAGAAGATATTTAAAGCTTAAAACACAGTCCTGATATGAGAGCATCTGGAGGTGATGTAATCCAGTGTAAATCCCGCCTACTGCCAGTCAAAACTTATTCCTATTGGTGTGACATCATCAGGGAGGGCGGAGCTTCTCTTACACAGATCTGCCCTGCAAACACCTCAGAAACATTCATTCTCATGATCAGAGCATTCACAAACATGACATGTAAGTCCAGTGAAAGTTCTGTCCAGAGAGCGACTGACTGTTAACTGTAGAGTTAGTAAGAACGCAGCACTTCTAGTGTCTCTGACTGTCAGAGACTCAGACTGTGGATCTCTGGCGACATCTACTGGCCTGGATCAACATCTGCAGGAGGAACGCTGCTCGACATCTGCACATCTGATCATCAGCATTATACAGGGACAGCGTTCTCCGTTCTCACACGCGTCTGTGACCCTGACCCTAACCCGCGTCTGTGACCCTGACCCTGACCCTAACCCTAACCGTCAGTCTGTTTTCTTCTGCTGGGCTGCTACTGGTCTGTAATGGCAGATTATCTGTCCCAGTATGAAGGAGTTGATCAGGAGGAACAGTAGACCGGCCATCCAGATGAGAGTAAAGCTGTTCCGGCCCTCGAACTCCAGGATATAGGCTGGCGATAACCAGAGCGCCTGGAGAGAGAAACGTCACAGATGAAGACTCGCTGTCGGGGATATACTGATGAAGAGATGTTGATATTCACTCACCTGACCCACGAGCCACAGCATTAGCAGCTCGAGGCCTCGCGTCCGGCTCAGCGTCAGGCGCGGCAGCACCAGCGGCAGCAGACACAGATACCAGAGGAAGTACTGTAGAGACACACACACACACACACACATGAGCCACAGATACCAGAGGAGGTACTGTAGAGACACACACACACACACACACATGAGCCACAGATACCAGAGGAGGTACTGTAGAGACACACACACACACATGAGCCACAGATACCAGAGGAAGTACTGTAGAGACACACACACACACACACACACACACATGAGCCACAGATACCAGAGGAGGTACTGTAGAGACACACACACACACATGAGCCACAGATACCAGAGGAGGTACTGTAGAGACACACACACACACACACACATGAGCCACAGATACCAGAGGAGGTACTGTAGAGACACACACACACACACACACACACATGAGCCACAGATACCAGAGGAGGTACTGTAGAGACACACACACACACACACACATGAGCCACAGATACCAGAGGAGGTACTGTAGAGACACACACACACACGAGCCACAGATACCAGAGGAGGTACTGTAGAGACACACACACACACATGAGCCACAGATACCAGAGGAGGTACTGTAGAGACACACACACACACATGAGCCACAGATACCAGAGGAGGTACTGTAGAGACACACACACACACACACATGAGCCACAGATACCAGAGGAGGTACTGTAGAGACACACACACACACACACACACACATGAGCCACAGATACCAGAGGAGGTACTGTAGAGACACACACACACACGAGCCACAGATACCAGAGGAGGTACTGTAGAGACACACACACACACATGAGCCACAGATACCAGAGGAGGTACTGTAGAGACACACACACACACACACATGAGCCACAGATACCAGAGGAGGTACTGTAGAGACACACACACACACACACACACACATGAGCCACAGATACCAGAGGAGGTACTGTAGAGACACACACACACACACACACACATGAGCCACAGATACCAGAGGAGGTACTGTAGAGACACACACACACACATGAGCCACAGATACCAGAGGAGGTACTGTAGAGACACACACACACACACACATGAGCCACAGATACCAGAGGAGGTACTGTAGAGACACACACACACACACACACACACATGAGCCACAGATACCAGAGGAAGTACTGTAGAGACACACACACACACACACACACACACATGAGCCACAGATACCAGAGGAGGTACTGTAGAGACACACACACACACACACACACATGAGCCACAGATACCAGAGGAAGTACTGTAGAGACACACACACACACACACACATGAGCCACAGATACCAGAGGAAGTACTGTAGAGACACACACACACACACACACATGAGCCACAGATACCAGAGGAGGTACTGTAGAGACACACACACACACACACACACACACACACACACATGAGCCACAGATACCAGAGGAAGTACTGTAGAGACACACACACACACACACACACACACACACACATGAGCCACAGATACCAGAGGAAGTACTGTAGAGACACACACACACACACACACACACATGAGCCACAGATACCAGAGGAGGTACTGTAGAGACACACACACACACACACACACACATGAGCCACAGATACCAGAGGAAGTACTGTAGAGACACACACACACACACACACACACATGAGCCACAGATACCAGAGGAGGTACTGTAGAGACACACACACACACACACACACATGAGCCACAGATACCAGAGGAGGTACTGTAGAGACACACACACACACACACACACACACATGAGCCACAGATACCAGAGGAAGTACTGTAGAGACACACACACACACACACACATGAGCCACAGATACCAGAGGAGGTACTGTAGAGACACACACACACACACACACACACACACACACACACATGAGCCACAGATACCAGAGGAAGTACTGTAGAGACACACACACACACACACACATGAGCCACAGATACCAGAGAAGGTACTGTAGAGACACACACACACACACACACATGAGCCACAGATACCAGAGGAGGTACTGTAGAGACACACACACACACACACACACACACACACACACACATGAGCCACAGATACCAGAGGAAGTACTGTAGAGACACACACACACACACACACATGAGCCACAGATACCAGAGGAAGTACTGTAGAGACACACACACACACACACACATGAGCCACAGATACCAGAGGAGGTACTGTAGAGACACACACACACACACACACACACACACACACACACATGAGCCACAGATACCAGAGGAAGTACTGTAGAGACACACACACACACACACACATGAGCCACAGATACCAGAGAAGGTACTGTAGAGACACACACACACACACACATGAGCCACAGATACCAGAGGAGGTACTGTAGAGACACACACACACACACACACACATGAGCCACAGATACCAGAGGAGGTACTGTAGAGACACACACACACACACACACACACACACACACGAGCCACAGATACCAGAGGAGGTACTGTAGAGACACACACACACACACACACACACACACACACACGAGCCACAGATACCAGAGGAGGTACTGTAGAGACACACACACACACACACACACACACACACACACGAGCCACAGATACCAGAGGAGGTACTGTAGAGACACACACACACACACACATGAGCCACAGATACCAGAGGAGGTACTGTAGAGACACACACACACACACACACACACACACACACACGAGCCACAGATACCAGAGGAGGTACTGTAGAGACACACACACACACACACACACACACACACACACGAGCCACAGATACCAGAGGAGGTACTGTAGAGACACACACACACACACACACACACACACACACGAGCCACAGATACCAGAGGAGGTACTGTAGAGACACACACACACACACACACACACACGAGCCACAGATACCAGAGGAGGTACTGTAGAGACACACACACACACACACACACACACACACACGAGCCACAGATACCAGAGGAGGTACTGTAGAGACACACACACACACACACACGAGCCACAGATACCAGAGGAGGTACTGTAGAGACACACACACACACACACACACACACACACGAGCCACAGATACCAGAGGAGGTACTGTAGAGACACACACACACACACACATGAGCCACAGATACCAGAGGAGGTACTGTAGAGACACACACACACACACACACACACATGAGCCACAGATACCAGAGGAAGTACTGTAGAGACACACACACACACACACACACACACACATGAGCCACAGATACCAGAGGAGGTACTGTAGAGACACACACACACACACACACACATGAGCCACAGATACCAGAGGAGGTACTGTAGAGACACACACACACACACACACACACATGAGCCACAGATACCAGAGGAAGTACTGTAGAGACACACACACACACACACATGAGCCACAGATACCAGAGGAGGTACTGTAGAGACACACACACACACACACACACACACACACATGAGCCACAGATACCAGAGGAAGTACTGTAGAGACACACACACACACACACACACACACACACACACATGAGCCACAGATACCAGAGGAAGTACTGTAGAGACACACACACACACACACACACACACACATGAGCCACAGATACCAGAGGAGGTACTGTAGAGACACACACACACACACACACACACATGAGCCACAGATACCAGAGGAAGTACTGTAGAGACACACACACACACACACACACACACACACATGAGCCACAGATACCAGAGGAAGTACTGTAGAGACACACACACACACACACACACACACATGAGCCACAGATACCAGAGGAAGTACTGTAGAGACACACACACACACACACACACACATGAGCCACAGATACCAGAGGAGGTACTGTAGAGACACACACACACACACACACACACATGAGCCACAGATACCAGAGGAGGTACTGTAGAGACACACACACACACACACACACACATGAGCCACAGATACCAGAGGAGGTACTGTAGAGACACACACACACACACACACACACATGAGCCACAGATACCAGAGGAAGTACTGTAGAGACACACACACACACACACACATGAGCCACAGATACCAGAGGAGGTACTGTAGAGACACACACACACACACACACACACACACATGAGCCACAGATACCAGAGGAAGTACTGTAGAGACACACACACACACACACACATGAGCCACAGATACCAGAGAAGGTACTGTAGAGACACACACACACACACACACATGAGCCACAGATACCAGAGGAGGTACTGTAGAGACACACACACACACACACATGAGCCACAGATACCAGAGGAGGTACTGTAGAGACACACACACACACACACATGAGCCACAGATACCAGAGGAGGTACTGTAGAGACACACACACACACACACATGAGCCACAGATACCAGAGGAGGTACTGTAGAGACACACACACACACACACACACACACACACACACACGAGCCACAGATACCAGAGGAGGTACTGTAGAGACACACACACACACACACACACACACACACACACACACACACGAGCCACAGATACCAGAGGAGGTACTGTAGAGACACACACACACACACACACACACACACGAGCCACAGATACCAGAGGAGGTACTGTAGAGACACACACACACACACACACACACGAGCCACAGATACCAGAGGAGGTACTGTAGAGACACACACACACACACACACACACACACGAGCCACAGATACCAGAGGAGGTACTGTAGAGACACACACACACACACACACGAGCCACAGATACCAGAGGAGGTACTGCACACACACACACACACACACACACACACACGCTGGTTGTGCTGGCAGTGGCACTTCCACGTATAAAGAGTGTTTGGTGCGGGCCCATCGAGGGTTAGGAACGACATGAGGCTCAGTGATAGGTCTATCCGTAGATGATATCAGTGGATGTCCATGTGATGCCACTGAGTCGGGCCGGAGGTCCACTACTGGAAAGTTGAGAATAACTAATAAGGTGATAACATTGTTATTTATAATAATTCCAAGCAAATGTCCAATTTTTTTTTTAAATAAATTGAATAATTCTTTGTGGCCGGCCTCAGTGTGCAGCCGCTCTATCAGCCGGCGCCGCTCGGCCCGAAGCAGAGACGGACCGCTGAGGGTCAGAGAGAGAGAGAGAGAGAGAGGGTCGAGCGAGCCCAGACGTGACCAGACTCAGGAACAGGGTCATCTGCGTACCTGTGACGTGCACACCTTGTTGAAGCTGACGAAGACGGCGGTGTGGAGGAAGCAGCAGAAGGGCCGGTCGGAGCGGAAGGCCAGCGAGGACAGCAGAACCAGCAGCAGCTGCGGCACGAACAGCACCAGCGCCAGGCTCCCGCTCCCGCTCCCGCTCCCGCTCCAGCTCCCGCTCCCGCTCCCGCTCCAGCTCCCGCTCCAGCTCCAGCTCCCGCTCCCGCTCCCGCTCCCGCTCCCGCTCCCGCTCCCGCTCCAGCTCCAGCTCCCGCTCCCGCTCCCGCTCCCCTCCGCCGTCAGGTACAGCATGTAGAAGTACGGAGAGAAGTTGTGCCGGATGTCTCTGCGAGTCACGTGGTACAGATACGACTCCTGGAGGAAATCCCAGCCGTAACTGAGAAACAAGACGGAACTCATCGTTATATTATTATTCCCTTATGCTAGAATAATCGTGCAGTGACTGTGAAATAATTAATGGATGTCTGGGAATGATGTCGAGACACAAGTGAGAAATGAAACGGTCTATATTGCAGCTCTGCTCACATTCGTGAGGTGCATCATGGGATGCGTTAACATACATGCAGTAGAAGGTCCCGTTCAGAGCCAGGAACACGGATCCGGAGACAGCAGCGAACAGCAGCAGATCCCTGTTGAAGAGCCGGCGGAGGTTCGGGACCAGCGCCCGCTCCCGGGTCGGGGCCTCGGCCAGAGACAGCGCGATGGGCAGCGCGTACGTGAGCGGGTAGATCTTCATGTGGACGGAGAGGCCGAACAGGAGCGCGGCGCGCGTGAGTCTCCGCGACTCCAGACACAGCAGTGTGGACAGGACCAGCACGGCTAGCACAGACTCGGCGTTCCCGCGCGTCGACACGCCGGCCGGCAGCGGGTTCAGGAGCCACAGGCCGCTGCACGCGAGGGCCGCGCCGCGGGACGTGCCGCGCAGAGCTAGCAGCCGTAGCAGCAGCCAGCCCGACAGCAGGTCGCAGGCGCAGAACAGCAGCTTCCCGAAGTGAGCCATTAGCAGCACGTTAGGCGTCAGCATCAGGGCTAGCACAGGCGTGTAGCGGAACGTGGATCTGCGGTACGGACTCTCGCCCTGCAAACACACGGCAGACGTCAGGTATCTGTGACCCCTGACCTCTATCAACCCAAGCCCATTCCCACAACATAAGCCTTGGTTCAAGGGTCAGAGTTCATTACATCATTGTTTGACTAAACACTTATTTTATTAAAGCATTTCGTCTGCATGTTTATTAAGTATTGAAGTATAAGAACGTCTCGGGTTACTTGCGTGACCCATGTTCTCTTTCACAGGTTCATATCGGATGGAAGAGACTGTACGGGTTCAGCCATCGCTACGCAGGACGATCTCACGCGGAAATGCGAAATAAAACGATATATTTAAATAAGTATTTTAAATACAAATTAAAGTCTCTCAAAGAATTTAATTACAAATTACATTTCATTTATTTTTGTTTAAACAAAATACCCAAAAGTAATTAAATACGTAATTCAAATACATGTAATTAAAATACTGCCCGTGTGTGTGTGTGTGTGTGTTTTTGCTTTTAACAACAAAACAATACAACATACATAGAGCCAGGGGAGCAAAGAAAACACACACACACACACATATATATAAGTGTGTGTGTGTCACCTGTGTGATGAATCTGGACGCGTCAGTGAACACGTGATAATCCACATCAGTGTATTTGAGCTGCAGATTCTGATCCTGATAAACACAGACGCACAGCAGAACTAAGCGGATCAGAACCGCGGCGCTGAACATCCCACACACCCGAACATCCATCACAGTCTCACACACACACCAAACAAACAAACAAACAAACAAACACTTAAACTATACAAGACGGAGCGAGTCAAGCTTCCTGAAACCCGTACAGCGCCGTCACGAGCCCACGTGACTGAAGGGCACGAGAGACTGACCAATCAGAGACGAAACTCCGCCTCTTTTGAGCTTCGCGTCATTTTCCTTTGCAGTGATTCATTTATGCGCTGTAGTTTGTTCGGTAAATGTTTCTGTTTGATTAAAACACAACAAACATCTCGTCTAAATATCGCAGCATTCCATTTTTGCGCGAACCTATTTAAATGGTTCATCGAAAATTATCGCTCACGAGAATAAAAATCGTTCGCAAACCGAACAAAAATAAATCTACCAAACGTTAAATATTACTGTTTATTCATTGCTATGCACATTTCTTTTGAAATTTCTGTTTCAAGTGTACGTTATACATCATCTCCGCCGTGACGCGATGACGTATTTCCGGCCGAGCGTCAGACGGATGGCGGAATAACAGCGAGAAAAACATACAGTAAAGATGAACATATTTACTTATTATTATTATTGTAGGAAATATGAAATGCAAATAGACTAACGTTACATAAGATTATTAAACATGGTGTGAATCTGATTGGTTTAGTAATCGCGTGTTGTTTGTTTGTCTTTTAATCATAATATCAGTCAAAATGACTCGATCTGTCGACGATTAACGCTCATTTCTCTCCTCAGACTGTAAATATGTGTTTCTGGCCCTTCTCAGAGATACGCCGAGTCTGAGTCGAGTCGAGCTTCACTGGGACTGGAGATGTAAACTTCACCAGATATGAGACTCAACTTCATATGTAAAGCAGCTCTGCAGAAGACAGTCACTGGAGGAGCCTGATCTGGGAACAGTGTTTATAACAGTGACGGGTAACTACAGTCAGTGAAGTGTGTATCAGCAGGTGTGTGTGTGTATCAGCCTGTGTGTCTCCTCATGTGTAGGTGTGTGTGTGTGTGTATAAGCCTGTGTGTCTCCTCATGTGTAGGTGTGTGTGTGTGTGTATAAGCCTGTGTGTCTCCTCATGTGTAGGTGTGTGTGTGTGTGTGTGTGTGTGTGTGTGTGTGTATCAGCCTGTGTGTCTCCTCATGTGTAGGTGTGTGTGTGTGTGTGTATAAGCCTGTGTGTCTCCTCAGGTGTAGGTGTGTGTGTGTGTGTGTGTGTGTGTGTGTGTGTGTGTATCAGCCTGTGTGTCTCCTCATGTGTAGGTGTGTGTGTGTGTGTGTATCAGCCTGTGTGTCTCCTCATGTGTAGGTGTGTGTGTGTGTGTATAAGCCTGTGTGTCTCCTCATGTGTAGGTGTGTGTGTGTGTGTATAAGCCTGTGTGTCTCCTCAGGTGTAGGTGTGTGTGTGTGTGTGTGTGTGTGTGTGTGTGTATCAGCCTGTGTGTCTCCTCATGTGTAGGTGTGTGTGTGTGTGTGTATAAGCCTGTGTGTCTCCTCATGTGTGTGTGTGTGTGTGTGTATCAGCCTGTGTGTCTCCTCATGTGTAGGTGTGTGTGTGTGTGTATCAGCCTGTGTGTCTCCTCATGTGTAGGTGTGTGTGTGTGTGTATCAGCCTGTGTGTCTCCTCATGTGTAGGTGTGTGTGTGTGTGTATAAGCCTGTGTGTCTCCTCATGTGTAGGTGTGTGTGTGTGTGTATAAGCCTGTGTGTCTCCTCAGGTGTAGGTGTGTGTGTGTGTGTGTGTGTGTGTGTGTATCAGCCTGTGTGTCTCCTCATGTGTAGGTGTGTGTGTGTGTGTGTATAAGCCTGTGTGTCTCCTCATGTGTGTGTGTGTGTGTGTGTGTATCAGCCTGTGTGTCTCCTCATGTGTAGGTGTGTGTGTGTGTGTATCAGCCTGTGTGTCTCCTCATGTGTAGGTGTGTGTGTGTGTGTATAAGCCTGTGTGTCTCCTCAGGTGTGTGTGTGTGTGTATCAGCCTGTGTGTCTCCTCATGTGTAGGTGTGTGTGTGTGTGTATAAGCCTGTGTGTCTCCTCATGTGTAGGTGTGTGTGTGTGTGTATAAGCCTGTGTGTCTCCTCAGGTGTAGGTGTGTGTGTGTGTGTGTGTGTGTGTGTGTATCAGCCTGTGTGTCTCCTCATGTGTAGGTGTGTGTGTGTGTGTGTATAAGCCTGTGTGTCTCCTCATGTGTGTGTGTGTGTGTGTGTATCAGCCTGTGTGTCTCCTCATGTGTAGGTGTGTGTGTGTGTGTATCAGCCTGTGTGTCTCCTCATGTGTAGGTGTGTGTGTGTGTGTATAAGCCTGTGTGTCTCCTCAGGTGTGTGTGTGTGTGTATCAGCCTGTGTGTCTCCTCAGGTGTGTGTGTGTATCAGCCTGTGTGTCTCCTCAGGTGTGTGTGTGTCAGCCTGTGTGTCTCCTCAGGTGTGTGTGTATCAGCCTGTGTGTCTCCTCAGGTGTGTGTGTGTCAGCCTGTGTGTCTCCTCAGGTGTGTGTGTGTATCAGCCTGTGTGTCTCCTCAGGTGTGTGTGTATCAGCCTGTGTGTCTCCTCAGGTGTGTGTGTGTGTGTATCAGCCTGTGTGTCTCCTCAGGTGTGTGTGTATCAGCCTGTGTGTCTCCTCAGGTGTGTGTGTATCAGCCTGTGTGTCTCCTCAGGTGTGTGTGTATCAGCCTGTGTGTCTCCTCAGGTGTGTGTGTATCAGCCTGTGTGTCTCCTCAGGTGTGTGTGTATCAGCCTGTGTGTCTCCTCAGGTGTGTGTGTGTATCAGCCTGTGTGTCTCCTCAGGTGTGTGTGTGTATCAGCCTGTGTGTCTCCTCAGGTGTGTGTGTATCAGCCTGTGTGTCTCCTCAGGTGTGTGTGTATCAGCCTGTGTGTCTCCTCAGGTGTGTGTGTGTGTGTGTGTATCAGCCTGTGTGTCTCCTCAGGTGTGTGTGTATCAGCCTGTGTGTCTCCTCAGGTGTGTGTGTGTGTGTGTGTGTGTATCAGCCTGTGTGTCTCCTCAGGTGTGTGTGTATCAGCCTGTGTGTCTCCTCAGGTGTGTGTGTGTGTGTGTGTGTGTGTGTGTATCAGCCTGTGTGTCTCCTCAGGTGTGTGTGTATCAGCCTGTGTGTCTCCTCAGGTGTGTGTGTATCAGCCTGTGTGTCTCCTCAGGTGTGTGTGTATCAGCCTGTGTGTCTCCTCAGGTGTGTGTGTGTATCAGCCTGTGTGTCTCCTCAGGTGTGTGTGTATCAGCCTGTGTGTCTCCTCAGGTGTGTGTGTGTATCAGCCTGTGTGTCTCCTCAGGTGTGTGTGTATCAGCCTGTGTGTCTCCTCAGGTGTGTGTGTGTATCAGCCTGTGTGTCTCCTCAGGTGTGTGTGTATCAGCCTGTGTGTCTCCTCAGGTGTGTATCAGCCTGTGTGTCTCCTCAGGTGTGTGTGTGTATCAGCCTGTGTGTCTCCTCAGGTGTGTGTGTATCAGCCTGTGTGTCTCTTCAGGTGTGTGTGTATCAGCCTGTGTGTCTCCTCAGGTGTGTGTGTGTATCAGCCTGTGTGTCTCCTCAGGTGTGTGTGTATCAGCCTGTGTGTCTCCTCAGGTGTGTATCAGCCTGTGTGTCTCCTCAGGTGTGTGTGTATCAGCCTGTGTGTCTCCTCAGGTGTGTGTGTATCAGCCTGTGTGTCTCCTCAGGTGTGTGTGTATCAGCCTGTGTGTCTCCTCAGGTGTGTATCAGCCTGTGTGTCTCCTCAGGTGTGTGTGTATCAGCCTGTGTGTCTCCTCAGGTGTGTGTGTATCAGCCTGTGTGTCTCCTCAGGTGTGTGTGTATCAGCCTGTGTGTCTCCTCAGGTGTGTGTGTGTATCAGCCTGTGTGTCTCCTCAGGTGTGTGTGTATCAGCCTGTGTGTCTCCTCAGGTGTGTGTGTATCAGCCTGTGTGTCTCCTCAGGTGTGTGTGTATCAGCCTGTGTGTCTCCTCAGGTGTGTATCAGCCTGTGTGTCTCCTCAGGTGTGTGTGTGTATCAGCCTGTGTGTCTCCTCAGGTGTGTGTGTATCAGCCTGTGTGTCTCTTCAGGTGTGTGTGTATCAGCCTGTGTGTCTCCTCAGGTGTGTATCAGCCTGTGTGTCTCCTCAGGTGTGTGTGTGTATCAGCCTGTGTGTCTCCTCAGGTGTGTGTGTATCAGCCTGTGTGTCTCCTCAGGTGTGTGTGTATCAGCCTGTGTGTCTCCTCAGGTGTGTGTGTATCAGCCTGTGTGTCTCCTCAGGTGTGTATCAGCCTGTGTGTCTCCTCAGGTGTGTGTGTGTATCAGCCTGTGTGTCTCCTCAGGTGTGTGTGTATCAGCCTGTGTGTCTCTTCAGGTGTGTGTGTATCAGCCTGTGTGTCTCCTCAGGTGTGTATCAGCCTGTGTGTGTCTCCTCAGGTGTGTGTGTATCAGCCTGTGTGTCTCCTCAGGTGTGTATCAGCCTGTGTGTCTCCTCAGGTGTGTGTGTGTATCAGCCTGTGTGTCTCCTCAGGTGTGTGTGTATCAGCCTGTGTGTCTCTTCAGGTGTGTGTGTATCAGCCTGTGTGTCTCCTCAGGTGTGTATCAGCCTGTGTGTCTCCTCAGGTGTGTGTGTGTATCAGCGATGGCCGCGCCGTTTGTTCCGGTTCCGGTTCCGATAGACCGAGCCCCGCGGAGAGCAGCCGTCTCAGTGCCGGACCGAAGCCAGAGTCCCGTGACCCGGGCCAGACTCAGCGGCTGCGAGCGATCCGTGCAGTTCTCCAGCTCGCCGAACCCCGACTCCAGCTCTCCTCATCTGGACTCCAGCTCTCCTCATCTGAACTCCAGCTCCCCGAACCCCGAGAGCGCGCCGGAGAGCCCGGGTCACTGGCAGGACCGGCCCATCACACCCACGGTTCTGGGATACGAGGTGATGGAGGAGCGGGCCAAGTTCACGGTGAGTGCTTCCGATCGCACATCACTGTATCAGCTCAGCATGAAGCCGGCTCAGAACTTCCTGCAAACATCGCCAGGAACAACAAAACATCATTAACCAAAATCAACACAATATCACACTCGTTTTTTGTACCAAACTGACGAAAGTGTCTTCATAGGGTTAGTTCTGTCATCATTTACTCACACTGCACAGACAGAGATAGTAGAGCACAGACAGAGATAGTAGAGCACAGACAGAGAGAGTAGAGCACAGACAGAGATAGTAGAGCACAGACAGAGATAGTAGAGCACAGAAAGAGAGAGTAGAGCACAGACAGAGATAGTAGAGCACAGAGAGTAGAGCACAGACAGAGATAGTAGAGCACAGACAGAGAGAGTAGAGCGCAGACAGAGAGAGTAGAGCACAGACAGAGATAGTAGAGCACAGACAGAGATAGTAGATCACAGACAGAGATAGTAGAGCACAGACAGAGATAGTAGAGCACAGACAGAGATAGTAGAGCACAGACAGAGATAGTAGAGCACAGACAGAGAGAGTAGAGCACAGACAGAGAGAGTAGAGCACAGACAGAGATAGTGGAGCACAGACAGAGATAGTAGAGCACAGACAGAGATAGTAGAGCACAGAGAGTAGAGCACAGATAGAGATAGTAGAGCACAGACAGAGATAGTAGAGCACAGACAGAGATAGTAGAGCACAGACAGAGATAGTAGAGCACAGACAGAGATAGTAGAGCACAGACAGAGATAGTAGAGCACAGACAGAGATAGTAGAGCACAGACAGAGATAGTAGAGCACAGACAGAGATAGTAGAGCACAGACAGAGATAGTAGAGCACAGACAGAGATAGTAGAGATAGTAGAGCACAGACAGAGATAGTAGAGCACAGACAGAGATAGTAGAGCACAGACAGAGATAGTAGAGCACAGAGAGTAGAGCACAGATAGAGATAGTAGAGCACAGACAGAGATAGTAGAGCACAGACAGAGGTAGTAGAGCACAGAGAGTAGAGCACAGACAGAGATAGTAGAGCACAGACAGAGATAGTAGAGCACAGACAGAGATAGTAGAGCACAGACAGAGATAGTAGAGCACAGACAGAGATAGTAGAGCACAGAGAGTAGAGCACAGACAGAGATAGTAGAGCACAGAGAGTAGAGCACAGACAGAGATAGTAGAGCACAGACAGAGAGAGTAGAGCACAGACAGAGAGAGTAGAGCACAGACAGAGAGAGTAGAGCACAGACAGAGATAGTAGAGCACAGACAGAGATAGTAGAGCACAGAGAGTAGAGCACAGACAGAGATAGTAGAGCACAGACAGAGATAGTAGAGCACAGAGAGTAGAGCACAGACAGAGATAGTAGAGCACAGACAGAGATAGTAGAGCACAGAGAGTAGAGCACAGACAGAGATAGTAGAGCACAGACAGAGATAGTAGAGCACAGACAGAGAGAGTAGAGCACAGACAGAGAGAGTAGAGCACAGACAGAGATAGTGGAGCACAGACAGAGATAGTAGAGCACAGACAGAGATAGTAGAGCACAGACAGAGATAGTAGAGCACAGACAGAGATAGTAGAGCACAGAGAGTAGAGCACAGACAGAGATAGTAGAGCACAGACAGAGATAGTAGAGCACAGACAGAGATAGTAGAGCACAGACAGAGATAGTAGAGCACAGACAGAGATAGTAGAGATAGTAGAGCACAGACAGAGATAGTAGAGCACAGACAGAGATAGTAGAGCACAGACAGAGATAGTAGAGCACAGAGAGTAGAGCACAGATAGAGATAGTAGAGCACAGACAGAGATAGTAGAGCACAGACAGAGGTAGTAGAGCACAGAGAGTAGAGCACAGACAGAGATAGTAGAGCACAGACAGAGATAGTAGAGCACAGACAGAGATAGTAGAGCACAGACAGAGATAGTAGAGCACAGACAGAGATAGTAGAGCACAGACAGAGATAGTAGAGCACAGAGAGTAGAGCACAGATAGAGATAGTAGAGCACAGACAGAGATAGTAGAGCACAGACAGAGATAGTAGAGCACAGACAGAGATAGTAGAGCACAGAGAGTAGAGCACAGATAGAGATAGTAGAGCACAGACAGAGATAGTAGAGCACAGACAGAGATAGTAGAGCACAGATAGAGATAGTAGAGCACAGACAGAGATAGTAGAGCACAGACAGAGATAGTAGAGCACAGACAGAGATAGTAGAGCACAGATAGAGATAGTAGAGCACAGACAGAGATAGTAGAGCACAGACAGAGATAGTAGAGCACAGACAGAGAGAGTAGAGCACAGACAGAGATAGTAGAGCACAGACAGAGATAGTAGAGCACAGAAAGAGAGAGTAGAGCACAGACAGAGATAGTAGAGCACAGAGAGTAGAGCACAGACAGAGATAGTAGAGCACAGACAGAGAGAGTAGAGCACAGACAGAGAGAGTAGAGCACAGACAGAGAGAGTAGAGCACAGACAGAGAGAGTAGAGCACAGACAGAGATAGTAGATCACAGACAGAGATAGTAGAGCACAGACAGAGATAGTAGAGCACAGACAGAGATAGTAGAGCACAGACAGAGAGAGTAGAGCACAGACAGAGAGAGTAGAGCACAGACAGAGATAGAGAGAGTAGAGCACAGACAGAGATAGTGGAGCACAGACAGAGATAGTGGAGCACAGACAGAGATAGTAGAGCACAGACAGAGATAGTAGAGCACAGACAGAGATAGTAGAGCACAGACAGAGATAGTAGAGCACAGACAGAGATAGTAGAGCACAGACAGAGATAGTAGAGCACAGACAGAGATAGTAGAGCACAGACAGAGATAGTAGAGCACAGACAGAGATAGTAGAGCACAGACAGAGATAGTAGAGATAGTAGAGCACAGACAGAGATAGTAGAGCACAGACAGAGATAGTAGAGCACAGACAGAGATAGTAGAGCACAGAGAGTAGAGCACAGATAGAGATAGTAGAGCACAGACAGAGATAGTAGAGCACAGACAGAGAGAGTAGAGCACAGACAGAGATAGTGGAGCACAGACAGAGATAGTAGAGCACAGACAGAGATAGTAGAGCACAGACAGAGATAGTAGAGCACAGACAGAGATAGTAGAGCACAGACAGAGATAGTAGAGCACAGAGAGTAGAGCACAGACAGAGATAGTAGAGCACAGACAGAGATAGTAGAGCACAGACAGAGATAGTAGAGCACAGACAGAGATAGTAGAGCACAGACAGAGATAGTAGAGCACAGACAGAGATAGTAGAGATAGTAGAGCACAGACAGAGATAGTAGAGCACAGACAGAGATAGTAGAGCACAGACAGAGATAGTAGAGCACAGAGAGTAGAGCACAGATAGAGATAGTAGAGCACAGACAGAGATAGTAGAGCACAGACAGAGGTAGTAGAGCACAGAGAGTAGAGCACAGACAGAGATAGTAGAGCACAGACAGAGATAATAGAGCACAGACAGAGATAGTAGAGCACAGACAGAGATAGTAGAGCACAGAGAGTAGAGCACAGATAGAGATAGTAGAGCACAGACAGAGATAGTAGAGCACAGACAGAGATAGTAGAGCACAGACAGAGATAGTAGAGCACAGAGAGTAGAGCACAGATAGAGATAGTAGAGCACAGACAGAGATAGTAGAGCACAGACAGAGATAGTAGAGCACAGATAGAGATAGTAGAGCACAGACAGAGATAGTAGAGCACAGACAGAGATAGTAGAGCACAGACAGAGATAGTAGAGCACAGACAGAGATAGTAGAGCACAGACAGAGATAGTGGAGCACAGACAGAGATAGTGGAGCACAGACAGAGATAGTAGAGCACAGACAGCACAGACAGAGATAGTAGAGCACAGACAGAGATAGTGGAGCACAGACAGAGATAGTGGAGCACAGACAGAGATAGTGGAGCACAGACAGAGATAGTGGAGCACAGACAGAGATAGTGGAGCACAGACAGAGATAGTAGAGCACAGACAGAGATAGTAGAGCACAGACAGAGATAGTAGAGCACAGACAGAGATAGTAGAGCACAGACAGAGATAGTAGAGCACAGACAGAGATAGTAGAGCACAGACAGAGATAGTAGAGCACAGACAGAGATAGTAGAGCACAGACAGAGATAGTAGAGCACAGACAGAGAGAGTAGAGCACAGAGAGTAGAGCACAGATAGAGATAGTAGAGCACAGACAGAGATAGTAGAGCACAGACAGAGATAGTAGAGCACAGACAGAGATAGTAGAGCACAGACAGAGATAGTAGAGCACAGACAGAGATAGTAGAGCACAGACAGAGATAGTAGAGCACAGACAGAGATAGTAGAGCACAGAGAGTAGAGCACAGATAGAGATAGTAGAGCACAGACAGAGATAGTAGAGCACAGACAGAGATAGTAGAGCACAGACAGAGATAGTAGAGCACAGACAGAGATAGTAGAGCACAGACAGAGATAGTAGAGCACAGACAGAGATAGTAGAGCACAGACAGAGAGAGTAGAGCACAGACAGAGATAGTAGAGCACAGACAGAGAGAGTAGAGCACAGACAGAGATAGTAGAGCACAGACAGAGATAGTAGAGCACAGACAGAGATAGTAGAGCACAGACAGAGATAGTAGAGCACAGACAGAGATAGTAGAGCACAGACAGAGATAGTAGAGCACAGACAGAGAGAGTAGAGCACAGACAGAGAGAGTAGAGCACAGACAGAGATAGTAGAGCACAGACAGCGATAGTAGAGCACAGACAGAGATAGTAGAGCACAGACAGAGATAGTAGAGCACAGAGAGTAGAGCACAGAGAGTAGAGCACAAACAGAGATAGTAGAGCACAGACAGAGATAGTAGAGCACAGACAGAGATAGTAGAGCACAGACAGAGATAGTAGAGCACAGACAGAGATAGTAGAGCACAGACAGAGATAGTAGAGCACAGACAGAGAGAGTAGAGCACAGACAGAGAGAGTAGAGCACAGACAGAGATAGTAGAGCACAGACAGCGATAGTAGAGCACAGACAGAGATAGTAGAGCACAGACAGAGATAGTAGAGCACAGACAGAGATAGTAGAGCACAGACAGAGATAGTAGAGCACAGACAGAGATAGTAGAGCACAGAGAGTAGAGCACAGAGAGTAGAGCACAGACAGAGATAGTAGAGCACAGACAGAGATAGTAGAGCACAGACAGAGATAGTAGAGCACAGACAGAGATAGTAGAGCACAGACAGAGATAGTAGAGCACAGACAGAGATAGTAGAGCACAGACAGAGATAGTAGAGCACAGACAGAGATAGTAGAGCACAGACAGAGATAGTAGAGCACAGACAGCGATAGTAGAGCACAGACAGAGATAGTAGAGCACAGACAGAGATAGTAGAGCACAGAGAGTAGAGCACAGAGAGTAGAGCACAGACAGAGATAGTAGAGCACAAACAGAGATAGTAGAGCACAGACAGAGATAGTAGAGCACAGACAGAGATAGTAGAGCACAGAGAGTAGAGCACAGAGAGTAGAGCACAGACAGAGATAGTAGAGCACAAACAGAGATAGTAGAGCACAGACAGAGATAGTAGAGCACAGACAGAGATAGTAGAGCACAGACAGAGAGAGTAGAGCACAGAGAGTAGAGCACAGACAGAGATAGTAGAGCACAAACAGAGATAGTAGAGCACAGACAGAGATAGTAGAGCACAGACAGAGATAGTAGAGCACAGACAGAGAGAGTAGAGCACAGAGAGTAGAGCACATTAGATGCGGTAACAGAAGCACAGACATGCGGATGGACATGTGATAGCCAGCACGGCTCTCGGACGCTCCTGTTAACTCTGAGTGTGTGTGTGTGTGTGTGTGTGTTTTCACACACTGTGATGTTGTACCGACTGCTTTCCTTCACAGCAGCAGCGACAGGGAGTGGGGAGGCGTTCGTCTGTGGATACTTTGTTGGTTTATGGTAATAGGGTTAGAAGTTGGAAAGGCAATGTGCAAATATGAAATATAAAACATCGTTCTGTATTTCCTCTGTCAGTAAAGGGTTAGCCTCGTACCTCGCTGCCCCTAACCCTCGTCTGAACACGCTTCCCTATCTATCAGAAGTAAACACCGCTGTAGAGCGTGCAGCATGCCGTCAGCGTCGGCCGGAGTGAACGTGTGATAACCGCAGCACCTGAGATGTGCCGTACCCAAACTCTGAACGAACTCTCTGCTCCTCACCACGGCTCGTCTCAGGTGCTGCGGTTATCACTCCGCCCAAGTAGCAGTGCTTCGCCTTCAGAGAATATAGTTCCCAGTATTTATACTGTTAAAATATGTCTGTGTCTCATGTGACGTAGTTTTTTTGTACACTCTGTGACTATACAAATCACAGCATGTAAATAGGAAAATGTTTGCGCTATTTTGTCACTTATTTGGATTAGTATGCTAGCTGCAACCATTTACATCCAGTCTTTGTGCTAAGCTAGGCTAGCGGTGGGTGCGTCAAACAGACTTATAGCACGCACGGAGATGAAAAAGGTATGTATGGACTTATCTAACTCTGGGGGATAAGGTGAATAGGCTAAAGTCCCAAAAAGTCGGAGTGTTCCTTTAAGAGACAATTAACTACTACGCTTCCTATTCCTGCTAATGTGCTCATAGAATTATTGTAAAACTCATTGGTTCATTGACATGATGCAGCAAAGCCCTGTTCACTGAAATCACGTGACCTTGGCGGATTCGTGTAGGTGATCATAAGCTCATCATGAGTGTGTTGGCGCTGGTCTCCCGGGTCCCGTGTGAAGAACTGTGACACTGATGTGAATGTGCTGCAGGTCTACAAGGTTCTGGTGAGGAAGACTCTGGACGAGAGCTGGGTCGTGTTCAGGCGCTACACTGACTTCTCCAGACTCAACGACAAGGTCAGTGCTATTCAGTGATGCGCTCCTCTAAGCCTGTGCGTTCTCTGACCCGTTCACCGACCCGTTCTCTGACCCGTTCACCGACCCATTCTCTGACCCGTTCACCGACCCGTTCTCTGACCCGTTCACCGACCCGTTCTCTGACCCGTTCACCGACCCGTTCTCTGACCCGTTCACCCGTTCTCTGACCCGTTCACCGACCCATTCTCTGACCCGTTCACCGACCCGTTCTCTGACCCGTTCACCGACCCGTTCTCTGACCCGTTCACCGACCCGTTCTCTGACCCGTTCACCGACCCGTTCTCTGACCCGTTCACCGACCCGTTCTCTGACCCGTTCACCGACCCGTTCTCTGACCCGTTCACCGACCCGTTCTCTGACCCGTTCACCGACCCTTTCTCTGACCCGTTCTCTGACCCGTTCACCGACCCGTTCTCTGACCCGTTCACCGACCCATTCTCTGACCCGTTCACCGACCCGTTCTCTGACCCGTTCACCGACCCATTCTCTGACCCGTTCACCGACCCGTTCTCTGACCCGTTCACCGACCCGTTCACCGACCGTTCTCTGACCCGTTCTCTGACCCGTTCACCGACCCGTTCTCTGACCCGTTCACCGACCCATTCTCTGACCCGTTTACCGACCCGTTCTCCGACCCGTTCTCTGACCCGTTCACTAACCCGTTCTCCCGTTCTCTGACCCGTTCACCGACCCGTTCTCTGACCCGTTCTCCCGTTCACCGACCCGTTCTCTGACCCGTTCACCGACCCATTCTCTGACCCGTTCACCGACCCGTTCTCTGACCCGTTCTCCCGTTCACCGACCCGTTCTCTGACCCGTTCACCGACCCATTCTCTGACCCGTTCACCGACCCGTTCTCTGACCCGTTCACCGACCCGTTCTCTGACCCGTTCACCGACCCGTTCTCTGACCCGTTCACCGACCCGTTCTCTGACCCGTTCACCGACCCGTTCTCTGACCCGTTCACTAACCCGTTCTCCCGTTCTCTGACCCGTTCACCGACCCGTTCTCTGACCCGTTCTCCCGTTCACCGACCCGTTCTCTGACCCGTTCACCGACCCATTCTCTGACCCGTTCACCGACCCGTTCTCTGACCCGTTCACCGACCCGTTCTCTTACCCGTTCACCGACCCGTTCTCTGACCCGTTCACCGACCCGTTCACCGACCCGTTCTCTGACCCGTTCACCGACCCGTTCTCTGACCCGTTCACCGACCCGTTCTCTGACCCGTTCACCGACCCGTTCTCTGACCCGTTCACCGACCCGTTCTCTGACCCGTTCACCGACCCGTTCTCTGACCCGTTCACCGACCCGTTCTCTGACCCGTTCACCGACCCTTTCTCTGACCCGTTCTCTGACCCGTTCTCTGACCCGTTCACCGACCCGTTCTCTGACCCGTTCACCGACCCGTTCTCTGACCCGTTCACCGACCCGTTCTCTGACCCGTTCACCGACCCGTTCTCTGACCCGTTCACCGACCCGTTCTCTGACCCGTTCACCGACCCGTTCTCTGACCCGTTCACCGACCCGTTCTCTGACCCGTTCTCTGACCCGTTCACCGACCCGTTCTCTGACCCGTTCTCCCGTTCACTGACCCGTTCTCTGACCCGTTCACTGACCCGTTCTCCCGTTCACTGACCCGTTCTCTGACCCGTTCTCTGACCCGTTCTCCTGTTCACTGACCCGTTCTCCCGTTCACTGACCCGTTCTCCCGTTCTCTGACCCATTCTCCCGTTCTCTGACCCGTTCTCCCGTTCACTGGCCCGTTCTCTGACCCGTTCTCCCGTTCACTGACCCGTTCTCCCGTTCTCTGACCCGTTCTCCCGTTCTCTGACCCGTTCACTGGCCCGTTCTCCCGTTCTCTGACCCGTTCTCCCGTTCACTGACCCGTTCTCCCGTTCACTGACCCGTTCTCCCGTTCTCTGACCCGTTCTCCCGTTCTCTGACCCGTTCTCCCGTTCACTGACCCGTTCTCCCGTTCACTGACCCGTTCTCTGACCCGTTCTCCCGTTCACTGACCCGTTCTCCCGTTCTCTGACCCGTTTCACTGACCCGTTCTCCCGTTCACTGACCCGTTCTCCCGTTCTCTGACCCGTTCTCCCGTTCTCTGACCCGTTCTCCCGTTCACTGACCCGTTCTCCCGTTCTCTGACCCGTTCTCCCGTTCACTGACCCGTTCTCCCGTTCACTGACCCGTTTCACTGACCCGTTCTCCCGTTCACTGACCCGTTCTCCCGTTCTCTGACCCGTTCACTGACCCGTTCTCTGACCTGTTCTCCCGTTCACTGACCCGTTCTCCCGTTCTCTGACCCGTTCACTGACCCGTTCTCTGACCTGTTCACTGACCTGTTCTCTGACCCGTTCTCCCGTTCACTGACCCGTTTCACTGACCCGTTCTCCCGTTCACTGACCCGTTCTCCCGTTCTCTGACCCGTTCACTGACCCGTTTCACTGACCCGTTCTCCCGTTCACTGACCCGTTCTCCCGTTCTCTGACCCGTTCACTGACCCGTTCTCTGACCTGTTCACTGACCTGTTCTCTGACCCGTTCTCCCGTTCTCCCGTTCTCTCGTTCACTGACCCGTTCTCCCGTTCACTGACCCGTTCTCCCGTTCTCTGACCCGTTCACCGACCCGTTCTCCCGTTCTCTGACCCGTTCTCCCGTTCACTGACCCGTTCTCCCGTTCTCTGACCCGTTCTCTGACCCGTTCTCCCGTTCACTGACCCGTTCTCCCGTTCTCCCGTTTCACTGACCCGTTCTCCCGTTCACTGACCCGTTCTCTGACCCGTTCTCTGACCCGTTCACTGACCCGTTCACTGACCTGTTCACTGACCCGTTCTCTGACCCGTTCTCCCGTTCTCTGACCCGTTCTCTGACCCGTTCTCTGACCCGTTCTCTGACCCGTTCTCTGACCCGTTCTCTCGTTCACTGACCCGTTCTCCCGTTCACTGACCCGTTCTCCCGTTCTCTGACCCGTTCTCCCGTTCACTGACCCGTTCTCCCGTTCACTGACCCGTTCTCCCGTTCACTGACCCGTTCTCTGACCCGTTCTCTGACCCGTTCACTGACCCGTTCTCTGACCCGTTCTCCCGTTCTCTGACCCGTTCTCTCGTTCACTGACCCGTTCTCCCGTTCTCTGACCCGTTCTCCCGTTCACTGACCCGTTCTCCCGTTCACTGACCCGTTCTCTGACCCGTTCTCTGACCCGTTCTCTGACCCGTTCACTGACCCGTTCACTGACCCGTTCTCTGACCCGTTCTCCCGTTCTCTGACCCGTTCTCTGACCCGTTCTCTGACCCGTTCTCCCGTTCTCTCGTTCACTGACCCGTTCTCCCGTTCACTGACCCGTTCTCCCGTTCTCTGACCCGTTCTCCCGTTCACTGACCCGTTCTCCCGTTCACTGACCCGTTCTCCCGTTCACTGACCCGTTCTCTGACCCGTTCTCTGACCCGTTCACTGACCCGTTCACTGACCCGTTCTCTGACCCGTTCTCCCGTTCTCTGACCCGTTCTCTGACCCGTTCTCCCGTTCTCTCGTTCACTGACCCGTTCTCCCGTTCTCTGACCCGTTCACTGACCCGTTCACTGACCCGTTCTCTGACCCGTTCTCCCGTTCTCTGACCCGTTCTCCCGTTCTCTCGTTCACTGACCCGTTCTCCCGTTCTCTGACCCGTTCTCCCGTTCACTGACCCGTTCTCCCGTTCACTGACCCGTTCTCCCGTTCACTGACCCGTTCTCTGACCCGTTCACTGACCCGTTCTCTGACCCGTTCTCCCGTTCTCTGACCCGTTCACTGACCCGTTCTCTGACCCGTTCTCCCGTTCTCTGACCCGTTCTCCCGTTCACTGACCCGTTCTCTGACCCATTCTCTGACCCGTTCACTGACCCGTTCTCTGACCCGTTCTCCCGTTCTCTGACCCGTTCTCTGCAGCTGAAGGAGATGTTCCCCGGGTTCCGACTCGCTCTGCCTCCCAAACGCTGGTTCAAAGACAACTACGAGACGGACTTCTTGGAGGACCGTCAGCTGGGCCTTCAGGCCTTCCTCCAGAACCTCGTGGCCCATAAAGACATCGCCCACTGGTGAGCTGCTCACACACACATACATCTGCACGCGTGCCTGAAGTGTGTGTGACGGACTCCTGTTCCTCAGTGTGGCGGTTCGGGAGTTCTTGTGTCTGGATGAACCGCCCGGCCCGTTCGACAGTCTTGAGGAGAGTCGGGTGAGTCCGCTTTATACTATACAGATCGAAGCCGCTTCGCCGTCGGGAAGATGATGATTCCATGATGAAAACAGTCCAACTCTGCTGTAGTGTGTGTGAAACATGATGTCCACTGCACACACACACGTCACAGGCTCAGGGAACAAGCAGGGCCAGAACCCGAAGATTCATTCCTGGTTCCCTCGAGGTTTTATGGGCAGAACGAATTAGTCTTCTGGGTTCTGACATCATCCCTGCACCGCTCTATAATAAACTGCATTTATAGATGTTAAAGGGGTCATATAATGCCATTTTTGTACAAGCTAGTATGATTCTTTAGGGTCTAAATTAAAAGTTTGTAATATACTTTAATTAAAAATTCTCATTAGTATTGTAAGAAAACACTTATTTTACCTGGTCAAAAACAGCTCTGTTTTCATCACGCCGTTTCAGTGCATATGCCTTTAAATGATAATGAGCTTCGCTGACTCCGCCTCTCTGTTCTGTGCGTACACAATAACACAATAACCATAACGCGTTGTTCATTATAAACGTGGGATTATGAATTATATTGAGAACATCATGCATAGAAAACATGCCGTAATGTACCCTGACTGGGTGTAAACCTTAGACGCATTCATTGTGAAGCGTGCAGCTAGCGATTTGCAAAGATTAATATAAATATTAATATAAAGTTTAATAAAACGTTACACTCACTTCAGTTATTCTAGAGGTTCAGCAGGAACACGAATAGCTGGTACCGATCCTTTATTCAGGAGCAGCTTCCTAGTAAAACCAGCTTTATACCTCCTCCTTTATAAAGCAGTCTGGTGTGAGAAATGATTCTCGCAAACATGAGAGCATTGACGTTGCTCGTGGGGAATATTCCCTTCGAAAACAAAACTCAGCCACTGCGTCTTCAGCGGTTCGGGTTTAGGAACATTAAAATGACTGTGTTCGTTATTACACCCAAGAACAGAACACCACAATCGCTTAGACGCCATTCTGCTCATAGACAGTGTGGACTATGATTGACAGCTCCCTCACGAGCGAGGGCGGGTCTGTGTTGAAACGCTGCTGTCAATCAACACTCGTGGGAGGAGCTTCCGAGCTTGTGACGTCACAAAATCGAACGGCTCGATTTGAGGCAGGGGAAAACATATAAGGAGATTAAAACAAAAACACTGGATGGATTTTTATCATTATATGATGGTTGTGTACAGGCACTGCCAACACACATTTCAGTACAATCAACTTGTAAAAGTGCATGTACCATTATATGACCCCTTTAACAGAGATGTTAGTAGTACACGCCATAGAAGACAATGTTACCATCTAGTGCTATAGTACATTAATGTCTGTCTCAAAATTATTCATGAGAATGTTTGGCTTTATCCAAAGAGAAGACGTCTTCTGTGTGTGTGTGTGTGTGTGTGTGTGTGTGTGTGTGTGTGTGTGCAGGCGTTCTGTGAGACTCTAGAGGAGAGCAACTACAGGCTTCAGAGGGAGCTTCTTGAAAAGCAGCGAGAGATAAACTGCTTGAAGAAAACACTGGAAGAGAAAGAGCGGCACATCCAAACACTGGAAGGCGGAATCAAGTAAATCCAAACTCACACATCAGTGCAGGTGTACAGACAGACAGACAGGTGTACAGACAGACAGACAGGTGTACAGACAGACAGACAGGTGGACAGACAGACAGACAGGTGGACAGACAGACAGACAGACAGGTGTACAGACAGACAGACAGGTGTACAGACAGACAGGTGTACAGACAGACAGACAGGTGTACAGACAGACAGACAGGTGTACAGACAGACAGACAGGTGTACAGACAGACAGACAGGTGGACAGACAGACAGACAGACAGGTGTACAGACAGACAGACAGGTGTACAGACAGACAGGTGTACAGACAGACAGACAGACAGACAGGTGTACAGACAGACAGACAGGTGTACAGACAGACAGACAGACAGACAGACAGGCAGGCAGACAGACAGGTGTACAGACAGACAGACAGGTGTACAGACAGACAGACAGACAGGTGTACAGACAGACAGACAGGTGTACAGACAGACAGACAGGTGTACAGACAGACAGACAGACAGGTGTACAGACAGACAGACAGGTGTACAGACAGACAGACAGACAGACAGGTGTACAGACAGACAGACAGGTGGACAGACAGACAGACAGACAGGTGTACAGACAGACAGACAGGTGTACAGACAGACAGGTGTACAGACAGACAGACAGACAGACAGGTGTACAGACAGACAGACAGGTGTACAGACAGACAGACAGACAGACAGGCAGGCAGACAGACAGGTGTACAGACAGACAGACAGACAGGTGTACAGACAGACAGACAGACAGGCAGGCAGGCAGACAGACAGACAGACAGACAGGTGTACAGACAGACAGACAGGTAGACAGGTGGACAGACAGACAGACAGACAGGTGTTCAGACAGACAGGTGTACAGACAGACAGACAGGTGTACAGGCAGACAGACAGGTGTACAGACAGACAGACAGGTGGACAGACAGACAGACAGGTGGACAGACAGACAGACAGGTGTACAGACAGGTGTACAGACAGACAGACAGGTGTACAGACAGACAGACAGGTGTACAGACAGACAGGTGTACAGACAGACAGACAGGTGTACAGGCAGACAGACAGACAGGTGTACAGGCAGACAGGTGTACAGGCAGACAGACAGACAGGTGTACAGGCAGACAGACAGACAGGTGTACAGGCAGACAGGTGTACAGACAGACAGACAGGTTTACACTCAGACAGACAGACAGGTGTACAGGGAGACAGACAGGTTTACACTCAGACAGACAGACAGGTGTACAGACAGACAGGTTTACAGACAGACAGGTGTACAGACAGACAGGTGTACAGACAGACAGACAGACAGGTTTACAGACAGACAGGTGTACAGACAGACAGACAGGTGTACAGGTAGACAGACAGGTGTACAGACAGACAGGTGTACAGGGAGACCGACAGGTGTACAGACAGGTGTACAGACAGACAGACAGACAGGTGTACAGACAGACAGACAGGTGTACAGACAGACAGACAGGTGTACAGGGAGACAGACAGGTGTACAGACAGACAGGTGTACAGACAGACAGACAGACAGACAGGTTTACAGACAGACAGGTGTACAGACAGACAGCTGTACAGACAGACAGACAGACAGGTGTACAGACAGACAGACAGGCAGGCAGACAGACAGGTGTACAGACAGACAGACAGGTGTACAGACAGACAGACAGGTGTACAGACAGACAGACAGACAGGTGTACAGACAGACAGGTGTACAGACAGACAGGCAGGCAGACAGACAGGTGTACAGACAGACAGGTGTACAGACAGACAGGTGTACAGACAGACAGACAGACAGACAGGTGTACAGACAGACAGACAGGTTTACAGACAGACAGGTGTACAGACAGACAGGTGTACAGACAGACAGACAGACAGGTGTACAGACAGACAGACAGACAGGTGTACAGACAGACAGGCAGGCAGGCAGACAGACAGGTGTACAGACAGACAGACAGGTGTACAGACAGACAGACAGACAGACAGGTGTACAGACAGACAGACAGACAGGTGTACAGACAGACAGACAGACAGGTGTACAGACAGACAGACAGACAGGTGTACAGACAGACAGACAGACAGGTGTACAGACAGACAGGCAGACAGACAGACAGGTCCAGCTGACTCTCTCTCTCTCTCTCTCTGTGTGTGTGTGTGTGCAGCGGTGCGGTCCTGACCCCTGAGAGCCCGTGTGTGTCGGGCAGTGACGGCAGTGTGGACGTCGAGTCTTCGGCTGCTGAGGCCGATCAGGAGCTGCTGGAGGAAAAGCAGTGAGTTCATGATGAGCGCTTAAACTCGTCACAATACGGAAGAAGAGATCTGTTGTTACCTCCATTTCATCACGACTTTAAAACAGTGTGGTCCACACAACCCTGATGCAGACGCACTAATGTGTGTGTGTGTGTGTGTGTGTGTGTGTGCAGGTGTGCGCTGCAGTCGTCTCAGAGCTCAGTGTGTTGGTGTGGTCCTGCCGTCATCAGCTCTTCTCCTCCTGTGATCCAGGTCACTCCTCTAGAACACTAACATCTCCTTCACTGTGTTCCTGTGGACGGAGGAGTCAGCTCAGCCCAAAGACACACACACACACACACACACACACACACACAGCCGGCAGGATCGCTCAGACAATCACACTGACACTGGGTTCGGCCGCGGCTGGAGGAGCATCTCAGGGTCACGTCTAGGTTTTATTTCTGGTTTTTGATGTGTAAATGAGTGAGACACACACACACACACACACACACACGTGACTCTTCGGTTTGTCTCTGTGATGACGAGACCCTCACACACACACACCCACATACACACACACACACGTGACTCTTCAGTCTGTCGAGCGGTTTTCACATGACATCACTCCACAGATCACATGTTCCTGCTCATTCTGTGCATTTCAGGTCATAATCGTAGTTAAATGCTGCTAGTGTGTGTTTAGGTCACTGAAGCCATATTTCCTGGTGTGTGTGTGTGTGTGTGTGTTGATCACAGCGAGGCCTGAAGCTCCAAATCATGCACTTTACGTCCTGAGGGATTATGGGATAGATGCTTCTACACTACTTGATGAAATCATGTCCAAACACCACGGTAAAGTCGTGTGCCTTCCCACACACACACACACACACACACACACACACACACACACACACACACCATGAGTTTCACTGATGACACAGTGCCTTGCGTCTTTTCCCTCAGCAGAATTTTATGTATTTATATGACTAACGTTAGAATGGGCTTCGCCGGGTTGAAGGTCCAGGTGTGAGTGACTGAGGGATGGTCATGTGACTGAGGGATGGTCATGTGACTGAGGGATGGTCATGTGACTGAGGGATGGTCATGTGACTGAGGGATGGTCAGGTGTTCTCTCTGCCAGAGCTGTCGGTGAGCGAAGGCATTCACTCTATTAAACTCTCTATCGTCTTTATGTTTACAGCAATATCACTAATGTTTGTGTTTGTTTCGTTTAATCCGTTTCCAGCTCTCATGTTTATTGAGCTGATTGTTCTACAGCTGTTATGCAAATATGCTTATGATGTTCAGAGGAAGTGGATAAACTGAGAAATATTTACGGTGGCGGATTTTCCAACGTTCTGATCTTTAGAAATGTAATAAAAGCTTCTCTGGGAAACTAGTGGAAATATGAGGTGAAGTCTGTATATAGTTGATGAATACAGTGTGAAGTTAATCTTGTACTTCACTGTTTTCTGTTCAAAGATCATCGATCTAAAACTGAGCTGTGAAATCAGACAAACATTTCATTCAATTTCACAATAAACTTCCATTATAAATACTATTAAGTGCTGCAATGTTTCACTGTCGTTTTTCACTTTGCAATAAAATATACACAGCTCACATCGATTATACTGTAAACGGTGTGTGTTAGAGAGAGAGTGTGTGTCCGTGAGTATGAAAGTGTGAGTGTGTGCGTATTTGTGTATGAGAGAGAGAGTGTGTGTGTGTGTGTGTCAGTAGGAGGAGCCTGTTCTGTTTAGTTCACTTCAGTTAGTTAGAGTCGCAGTGACTCGCAGCTGCATCTTCTGGTGAGTTTAACTCTTTGTCTGATTAGTTTAATGGCATTGACTAGTTTAACGCTTTTTAAACTCACTGCAGAGTTTCACCGTCGATCTGCAGGTTAAATATGAAAATGGCGGTGCGGCTTCAGGCCTGATCCAGATTAATCCCGATTACATGACAAACTCACACCTGAATGAGTGTGTGAGAGACACACAGGTGTGTGAAGGACTCTGCGAGTCTGACAGTAATGTGTGTTTGTTCACAATGACAGTTTATTTGTCGTTTAATCCTGTCAGAGCGCGTTAGCCGTGACGCTAACGTGTTAGCCTGTTAGCATGAGTCTGCGGATAAACGGCGGAATATTTGCCGTTCAGTCACAGAATTACACAACAGAATCTGATTCACATGTCCCTGATTCACACACATGAACAATTAGCGACGTAAAACTCATTTAAGATCATTTGTGCGCCGGGGAAGTCATTAATGAGCGCCGGTAACAGGCCGCAGAGAGACAGACAGACACACCGATAAACACACAGAGGATAGACAGCTTAGTATATATATAACGTTATATATATACATATATTATTTGATCAGCATATGGACCGATAGAGAGGCAGACAAATCCTAAACGCTTGTATATTTAAACATTAATTCACAGTGAGAGAAGTTATAAACACTGACTATATCAGACAGACATGTAAATAAATACAGGTAGTGTCACTCCTTTTCTAAATGTTTCATGTCATTTTGTTCACCCTAACCCTACTTGCATTTACTTCTGAAAAAGCAGGTTGTGTAAACTGCATTTATATTAAATATAATAATGTGTATGGGAAATTATAATAATGTGTCTAACCCTAACTGAACTGCCAGTAAACACACTGACCGTCCAGTATCACACAAACATGAACGTGCCGAGACTCAGTTTCTCCCATCAGCCCTGTGGTTTAGGGAAGCCGTACGTTACATGAACGAATGAAGCCTTGGCCTCATGAAGGTCAGCCAGATGTTGGTCAGATTCACTCGTCACGGTGGAGATAACTTAGGGCGATAGACATCCATGAGGCGACGTTCCTGATCATCAGATTCAGCAGAATGAGCCGGAACATGAAGGCTGGCTCTCTCTGTCTGAAGGATGAACCGTTGTGTGATTGTGTGTGTCTTGTGTTGCAGTGCATCATGGCTCGCAGTGACGGCTGAAGATCCTCAGGCTCTCGCGCATCAGCTGTGAGTTGAAGAAAGTTTGCTTCTTAGTTTGGCGATGAAGAGTGCAGATGGGTAGTTGATGTGAAGTTTAGAATCCGTTTAAAAGGGGTCATGAACTGCATTTTATGTTTATAAAATGTTTTCCCAAGGTGCTCTTTTAATGTTAGTAGAATATTTGCATCAAAAACTCTCATAATGTAGAATTAAAAGGACTTTTTCTCCCCTCTGATTTAAAGCGTGTGTGCAGACGGTCTTACGCAGAGGAATCCATCTCTGTCACATTATAAATGCAGATGTCCAGCGATGTGCATGTGAGCGTGTGTTCCCTCAGGTCCTGTAGTTGATGGAGTGTGTGGTGTGTTTGAGGTCATGGCCACGGGCTCCTCCAGAAGCGACTGTAGCAATAACGCCAGAGAGCTGCACGCCGTTGGTAAGACCACGCCCACAGGAACAGGAAGTGACATGTTTTCTTCACATGCTGATGTGTGTGTGTTGTGTCTGCATGTGCAGTTTCCTGTGCCAAACTCAAGAGGAAGAAGAACTGGTTTGGAACGACCATCTATGTGGAAGTGACATCAGAGGGAGTGAGCAAGAAAACCACCAAATCCCACAGCTCCTCCAATCCCGCGTGGGACGAGCGCCTGACGCTGTGAGTCTCGAGCGACGCTTCTCCGCTAACACGAGCGGGATCTGCTCGTTTCTTTAAGTCTCGTCATCATTTGAGAAAGTCAGTTACATTAGAAGTAGATTGGTCTAATTTGGATCTGAAGAGTGAGCCTGATCCCCCCAGTGTAGAGTAACCCGAGCCTCCCGCTGTTCACTGATTCCTCGTTTCCACCAAAAAAGAACTGGTTCGGAACTGGTGCTGGTTCCACTTGCGAACCTTCTCAGAACCGGTTTGTTTTTCCACTGACTAGAGAGCCCAGCGAACGACGTCGTTACGTCACTGTGTGTCAGGGTTTCCGTTGTCCGGTAATTACCGGACATTGGCGGGGAAAAAAATGAAATGTCCGACAAAATTAAATCTCTCCGGTCAAATTGTCCGATTAAAATTGCGTAATAATCCCGCCCCCCTAACACAATATGAATTTGAGAATAAGCCTAAAATGTATAAAGCAAAAATACACCGACCTTTGGCTTATAAAGGAACAGGCTCTACCGTTTGAAAGTTATTAAACAACATCGCATGCTGCATTTCAAATAAAGCGCACGCCTAGAACGGCTGTAATATAGACCTAAACAACGAACGATTGAGTGAGACGGTTCAGATATGGCCAGGTCCATTGATATTATTGATAAAGTTGATAAATTAATAAAGTTGACGATGCAGACTCGCCATCTTCGCAGTAGTGAACGCGCCTATAGAGAGAAGTGTGCACGCGCCGGCGCCTCCGGGTCCTGATTAGCCTATATTGTCCACTATATTCGCTTCTTATTTAATAATCCAGGCAAATTTGTTGATGAAACATTGATTAAAATTAATATACAATTTATACAAAACGAAATTTTCAAGCAAAAATAATATTAGAAGATGGCTGGGTTGATTATTATTCGAAAATCGCATCCCTCCACCACACACACACATGCATTAGGCTACACACCAGAGCATGAGCAAAGCGGAGCGGTGTGACGCTTATTATAAGTTAAAAAACTTAAATATACGTTTCATATTTATAAATAATATAATGTTATTATTTTTTTATTTCATCTATGTTGATTAGGCTATATGAAAAGGGAACCGCATGAGATGAGTAAGATAGGATCATAAGATCACCAATAGGCCTATATATCGGAAAACATTTGGAATTGGTCAGACATGATTTTGACCACTTATTTAGTTTTGTTTTGTAGAAAGCCTTTCTTTAAAGTTTATTTCGTTTTGTATAAATTGTATCTTCATTTTAATCAATGTTTCATCAACAAATTTGCCTGGATTAATAATTAATAATTTATTCATATGAAGTGAGCATTTCTCTCTCTAGGCGCGTTCACTACTGCGCAGATGGCGAGTCTGCATCGTCAACTTTATCAATTTATCAACAATTCAAATGTTTCATGCATAATCATTACTTTCGCCGGTTCTTTGTGGCAAGCTTTATTTCAGGTGTTGCGTGATATCTCTGCGCCCAGTAGCAGTGCTTCGCCTGTGTAGAGTCTCCGCAACGGCGATGGATTGAAACGCGCGTCCGAGTGAAGATTGTGCAACTCGCGCGGCGCGTCGTCCATGACACTGATAGCAGCGACACGAGCGCTCAGCTTGATTTAAAAAACAACTGATTTTAGCGCTAGATCTCTTATTTAATAGCGAACTAAATGAATGATCTGCTAGTTAACTGGATATGTTTTATTTATTTCTATTAGGTACATCCGTGCCTCAATGTTTCAAAAAGTGAATGTGTGTGAAACCATCAGGGCCGGCCCGAGGCATAAGCGAACTAAGCGGCTGCTTGGGGCCCCTTGGCCACCAGGGGGCCCCCCAATCGAGTCGAAAAACCGAAAAATATTTTTTTTAGATGACTTAAACAAGTGACAAAAATGAATAAATGAATATGATTGAATGAATGAATATTTCGAAGACAAGAGAATTCTGATTACATGATCAATATTACCTGCCTACAACTGCTGCTGTGTCTGCCAGCGTTTAAGTCATGCGCATAATCTAGACACCTCGCGCGTGCATAGACAATTCGTGCGCAACTGCGTATAGTCACGGTAATGTTAAGCCATGTAACAAAAAAGGACGTATCCTTCTGGTGCCGAAAATAGAAAGAAGAAAAGGCCAGAGGAGGAGAAAAAAAGAGCAAGATAAAACTATATTTGCATGATTATTTACGGTATGTTTTGTGCAGACCATTCCTATCTACGGCAAGCCCCGAGGGGAAAAATACATTGCATACGCACATACAACGAGCGCCAGTACATCATTACCGGTATTATAGTAACAGACTTTGTTGGATTCTGTCATGTACAATCCAACCAAGTCTGTTACAATAATAATCAACAAAAAAAACTTACAATGTATTGAGACAGTTGAGAAATAATA